TGCGGTACACGGGCCTCTCACTGTTGTGGCCTCTCCCGTTGCGGAGCACAGGCTCTGGACGTGCAGGCTCAGCGGCCGTGGCTCACAGACCCAGCCGGTCAGCGGCATGTGGGATCTTCCCAGACCGGGGCACGAACCCATGTCCCCTGCACCGGCAGGCAGACTCCCAACCACTGCGCCACCAGGGAAGCCCTGTTGAAAGAGTTTTAATCGTAGTTTCAGTTTCATTCCTTGTGAGTGGTCTGCTCATATTTTCTATTTCTTCCTGGTTCAGTCTTGGAAGGTTATGCCTTTCTAAGAGTTTGTCCATTTCTTCAGATTGTCCATTTTATTGGCATAGAGTTGCTTGTAGTAGTCTCTTAGGATGCTTTGTATTTCTGTGGTGTCTGTTGTAACTTCTCCTTTTTCATTTGTAATTTTATTGATTTGAGTCCTCACCCTCTTTTTCTTGATTAGTCTAGCTAATGGTTTATCAATTTTGTTTATCTTCTCAAAGAACCAGCTTTTAGTTTTAATGATTTTTGCTGTTGTCTTCTTTGTTTCTATTTCATTTATTTCTGCTCTGTTCTTTATGATTTCTTTCCTTCTACTAACTTTGGGTTTTGTTTGTTCTTCTTTCTCTAGTTCCTTTAGGTGTAAGGTAGGTTGTTTATTTGAGATGTTTTTTGTTTCTTGAGGTAGGATTGTATTGCTATAAACCTCCTTCTTAGAACTGCTTTTGCTGCATCTCATAGGTTTTGGATTGTCATGTTTTCATTGTCATCTGTCTCTAGGTATTTTTTGATTTCCTCTTTGATTTCTTCAGTGATCTCTTGGTTGTTTAGTAATGTATTGTTTAGCCTCCATGTGTTTGTGTTTTTTTACGTTTTTTTCCCTGTAATTGATTTCTAATCTCATAGTGTTGTGGTCAGAAAAGATGCTTGATATGATTTCAGTTTTCTTAAATTTACTGAGGCTTGATTTGTGACCCAAGATGTGATCTATCTTGGAGAATGTTCTGTGTGCATTTGAGAAGAAAGTGTAATCTGCTGTTTTGGATGGAATGTCCTATAAATATCAATTAAATCCATCTGGTCTTTTGTGTCATTTAAAGCTTGTGTTTCCTTATTAATTTTCTGTGTGGATGATCTGTCCATTGGTGTAAGTGAGGTATTAAAATCCCCCACTATTATTGTGTTACTGTTGATTTCCTCTTTTATAGCTGTTAGTAGTTGCCTAATGTATTGAGGTGCTCCTATGTTGGGTGCGTATATATTTATAATTGTTATATCTTCTTCTTGGATTGATCCCTGATCATTATGTAGTGTCCTTCGTTTTCTCTTGTAACATTCTTTATTTTAAAGTCTATATGAGTATCGCTACTCCAGCCTTCTTTTGATTTCCATTTACATGGAATATCTTTTTCCATCCCCTCACTTTCAGTCTGCATGTGTCCCTAGGTCTGAAGTAGGTCTGTTGTAGACAGCATATATATGGGTCCTGTTTTTTGTATCTGTTCAACGAGCCTGTGTCTTTTGGTTGGAGCATTTAATCAATTAACGTTTAAGGTAATTATCGATATGTATGTTCCTATTACCATTTTCTTAATTGTTTTGGGTTTGTTTTTGCAGGTCCTTTTCTTCTCTTGTTTTTCCCACTTAGAGAAGTTCCTTTAGCATTTGTTGTAGAGCTGGTTTCATAGTGCTGAATTCTCTTAGCTTTTGCTTGTCTGTAAAGCTTTTGATTTCTCAATAGAATCTGAATGAGATCCTTGCCGGGTAGAGTAATCTTGGTTGTAGGTTCTTCACTTTCGTCACTTTAAATATGTCATGCCACTCCCTTCTGGCCTGTAGAGTTTCTGCTGAGAAATCAGCTGTTAACCTTATGGGAGTTTCCTTGTATGTTATTTGTCGTTTTTCCCTTTCTGCTTTCAGTAATTTTTTTTTGTCTTCAATTTTTGCCAATTTGCTTACTGTGTGTCTCTTCATGTTTCTCCTTGGGTTTGTCCTGTATGGGACTCTCTGTGCTTCCTGCACTTGGGTGGCTATTTCCTTTCCCATGTTAGGGAATTTTTCGACTATAATCTCTTCAAATATTTTCTTGGGTCCTTTCTCTCTCTCTTCTCCTTCTGGGACCCCTATAATGCAAATGTTATTGCGTTTAATGTTGTCCCAGACGTCTCTTAGGCTGTGTTCATTTCTTTTCATTCTTTTTTCTTTATTCTTTTCCACAGCAGTGAATTCCACCATTCTGTCTTCCAGGTCACTTATCCGTTCTTCTGCCTCAGTTATTCTGCTATTGATTCCTTCTAGTGTACTTTTCATTTCAGTTATTGTACTGTTCGTCTCTGTTTGTTTGTTCTTTAATTCTTCTAGGTCTTCGTTAAACATTTCTTGCATCTTCTCGACCTTTGCCTCCATTCTTTTTCTGAGGTCCAGGATCATCTTCACTATCATTATTCTGAATTCTTCTTCTGGAAGGTTGCCTATATCCACTTCATTTAGTTGTTTTTCTGGGGTTTTATCTTGTTCCTTCATCTGGTACATAGCCCTCTGCCTTTTCATCTTGTCTATCTTTCTGTGAATGTGGTTTTTGTTCCACAGGCTGCAGGGTTGTAATTCTTGCTTTTGCTGTCTGCCCTCTGGTGGATGAGGCTATCTAAGAGGCTTGTGCAAATTTCCTGGTTGGAGGGACTGGTAGTGGATAGAGCTTGCTGTTGCTCCCGTGGGCAGAGCTCAGTAAAACTTTAATCTCCTTGTCTGCTGATGGGTGGGGCTGGGTTCCCTCCCTGTTGATTGTTTGGCCTGAGGCGACCCAACACTGGAGCCTACCTGGGCTCTTTGGTGGGGCTAATGGCAGACTGTGGGAGGGCTTAAGCCAAGGAATACTTCCCAGAACCCAGATACTGCTGCCAGTATCCTTGTCCTCATGGTGACACACAGCCAACCCCTGCCTCTGTAGGAGACCCTCCAACACTAGCAGGTAGGTCTGGTTCAGTCTCCCCTGGGGTCACTGCTCCTTCCCCTGAGTCCTGATGCACACACTAATTTGTGTGTGCCCTCCAAGAGTGTAGTCTCTGTTTCCCCCAGTCCTGTTGAAGTCCTGCGATCAAATCTCACTAGGTTTCAAAGTCTGATTCTCTAGGAATTCCTTCTCCCGTTGCCAGACACTCAGGTTGGGAAGCCTGACGTGGGGCTCAGAACGTTCACTCCAGTGGGTGGACTTCTGTGGTGTTAGTGTTGTCAGGTTTGTGAGTCACCCACTCAGCAGTTATGGGATTCGATTTTATTGTGATTGCACCCCTCCTACCGTCTCATTTTGGCTTGTCTTTGGATGTGGGGTATCTTTTTTGGTGAGTTCCAGTGTCTTCCTGTCGATGATTGTTGAAAGTGATTTCTAGATAGCAATGACACAATACACGTTAAGCTATTAGGAGAGTACTTAGCTTACAGTAGATGATCCATAAATATGAACAACCATGATTTTAAAAATATTACTTTTAAAAAATTTAGTGGGTAATCTTTATTTCTAAGATTTCTTTTTTGTTCCCAAGGAGCATTTATTTAAAAAGGGCAGGGTAATTTGTGACAACGTAGATGAACCTGAAGGGTATCGTGCTAAGTGAAATAACCCAGACAGAGAAAGATCAATACTGGATGGTACCACTTATATGTGGAATCTAAAAAAAGAAGTTGAACAGATATTGTTGCCGGGGGCTGGGTGGGAGAAATGGGGAGAGGTTGGTCAAAAGATACAAACTTCCAGTTTTAAGATGAATAAGTTCCGAGGATCTAATGTACAACGTGGTAACTGTAGTCAACAATACTGTATTGTGTACTTGAAATTTGCTAAGAGAGTATTTAGCGTTTTTACCAAAAAAAAGAAAAAGTAACTATGTGAAGTGATGTGTTAATTAACTTGATTATGGCAGCCATTTTACAATGTACATGTAAATCATGTTGTTTTGTACACATTATATTACAATTGTATTTGTCAGTTTTACCTCAGTAATGCCGGAATAAAATCCTGTTTCACAATTTAAAATAATTAATAACAGGCAAAAAAATAAAAAAGGGCAGGCCTTCTTTTTGATTTATAATCCTGCTGCCTCTTACAGAGGATGAGGAGAAAACTTAAATTTCTGTTCCCCACTTCCATTAACTTTGTTTTAATGGGGGTTATTTTCTCTGATTGGTCCCCTGGCCCACTTTTTTGAGTGGCTGTTCCATTTCATATGTCTGGTTATTATTCATGGTCTGCTAATATTTATAAATGAAGGACTTGATTATTCAGTGCGGGTAACTGATGTGGTCACTGCCTGCAGTTATGTGGGTTAGTGTTTCCTTTTTCCTGATTGATTTTCCCCCAAGTGCATGTATGGAGGTGATTGATAGGTTAGTGGTTTGATTCTTTGGCTCCACGTCTCCTCCTTTCAGCGTGTTGAATGGGAGTTTGTAGGCCTATTCTTGGCTGTGCTATGCAATAAGCTGGGTGTGTGTGGATGGCTCCTGTTCAGTGTGGGTGGCAAGTGTTCAACTATTTAAAAGTGGTGGGATTACGTACCTGATTGGAATATTCACTTTATAACATTTGACATGTTGTTGTATTTCTTTACAGGGATACACACGGCTTGATAAAAGCCATTATGAAATTATTACAAATGCAAGCTCTTAAGGAAGGACATGGTGGAGAGAAGAATATTCAGGATATATATAATATTAGGTATGCCTTTTCTCCTTTCTTTTGAAACTTTTTTTTTGGGGGTGAATTGTTAAATAAGTTATGAATTGAGGCATGCTAATCCATTAGGAATTAGTATATTTAACTCAGCAAGGACTGTGAGTCTTGCCCTCTCGGAAGTTAGTATTTCAAAGAGACAGGATTGAGATAGAGTTGACTACTATATGCTGAGTATCACCAACGTGGCTTTCAGGGTTGTTTCCTTGAAATTGGAATCTGTTATCCAAAATTCAGGTCATTTGTTTTGCTCTGGGATATAGAACCATCTTCCCAGTACTATGAAAACTGAAGAGTTCATTGGACAGATGTTCTAAGAGCAGGAGGGGCTTAGTTTAGGCAGGAGGGTAAACTTCCTCACTATGAAAAGTAATAGGAGGACTATTCAAGGGTTATTACCCAGGGCAAGGTCAGTACTTAGGAGCATTGATTTGCCTTTTTTTTTTTTGTCATCTACAGAATGTAACATGGTAGAATTATTTTAAAAGAAAATATACACAGCAACAGTTATGTTGAAATATATTGGATTTTATGGGAAAGTTTGGATAAGGGAAGGCATCATGCTTACTTTTGAAGGTGACCTTAACCATTGCCTTGAAGGTCCTAGAAAGTCATTTCTTTAGAGAGGGGCTCCTTAGTGAGCAGGGGATCCCAGAAGATGCCATGTAACCAGTGTATATTGTCCTGAAAACTCTGTTCAGTGATGCATCTAGAATATGCATTTCAAAAGAATGAGACCATGAGACCATAAACAAGGGCGCTGGTTCTGGGGGAAAATGACTTACATAGGCTATGGCAGTCCAACAGGGAAAGTAAATCATATCTGTGAACTGTCATTGGCTTGAGCATACAAGACCTGCAGTTTTGAGCATTTGACACCACAGCTATCAGAAGCTGTGCGTGCCTCTCCAAAGTATAGTAATAGGTGGTACCTATTACTTACGTATATTTATAGTACTTTCCTTTTGATAATAAGTAAACAGTGTCTCATATATTACAGTCATCTTTCCTGATTTTTTTTTTTTTTTTTTTTTTGGGTTCGGGGGGCCTCTCACTGCTGTGGCCTCTCCCGTTGCGGAGCACAGGCTCAGCGGCCATGGCCGAACCCGTGTCCCCTGCATCGGCAGGTGGACTCTCAACCACTGTGCCACCAGGGAAGCCCTGATTTTTTTTTTAATGTCTTTATTGGAGTATAATTTTCCTGATATTTTAGTGCGATTTATCATCTTTATTTTTATGAGCACATTATCGAGAGTTTCTTAAGTCACTTTTTAAAAACAAGGTCAGATTTGCATTTTATATATTTTTTCTTAATTAAAAAAAATTATTTATTTATTTATTTGGCTGTGCCGGGTCTTAGTTGTGGCACATGGGATCTAGTTCCCTGACCAGCATCAAACCCGGGCCCCCTGCATTGGGAGCGTGGAGTCTTAACCACTGGATCACCAGGGAAGTCCCTCTTAACATGTTTTTTGAATGTTTTCAAAAACACAGAGAAGATGGAAGAATGTAGTACAATGGATTAGTTAATTCATTGTTAACTTATTAGTTAACTTGGTTTATTTTAAATTGGGGAAGCAAAAGGAAAATTATTTATTTGAAAATACTATGGAAACTTTGGGTGTGCAGGAGAAAGTTTTCAAAATTGATAAATTTGCTTTTCTTTTTAAAATATGCATTACCTTAACCAGAAATGAACCTAAGGAGTAGATGAGCAGAACTTAATGTTTCTAGATGAGTCATATAAGCATCTGTGTTCTCTTTTTTTGAAAGAAGTTCAACCTTTTGGGCCTGAGTTCCAGGATGGGAAATAATTCCACTCCATTGTTGTTCAGTTGGAGTTATTTACCTATTTTAAAATAGGAAAGCTATTGAAGTTTTACATTTTTACATAGAAGTTTTATTGAGAATAATTCATATACCATACAATTGACTCATTTAAGGTACAATTCAATGGTTTTTAGTATATTCACGGAGTCATGTAACCATTGCAATAACCAATTTTAGGGTATTTTTCTCATTCCCTCAAATTCCTCAGCGATTAGCAGTAGCTCTATATTTTCCTCCACCCAGTTGGGTATTTTTAATTCAATGGTTCTCAACACTGGCTGCTCAGAACCACCTGGACATGCCTAAAAAAAAACAAAAATAGGAACAATGAAATACCCTAGACCAACTGAATCAGATTCTCTGCCATGAGGCCTAAGCTTTTGTAGTTTCAAAAAGGTCCCAGGCAATTCTGATTGACAGTGAGTATAAGATGGTGTGTTAGCGGCTGTCTACTATGCATTCTGATCACCTGAGACCTTGTTGAATGGCAGATTCTCTTTCCTTAGGTCTAAGGTGGACTCAGGATTCTTGTCTAACAAGCTCCCAGGTGATGCTGATGCTGACACTGACGCTGATGCTGCTGTTTCCCCACCTGCTGTAAGTAGCAGAGCTATGAGCAGCATTAGCAGTTCCTGGGAGCTTGTTAGGAATGCAGAATCTCGGACTCCATCTCAGATTATCTGAATTAGAGCCCACATTTTAGTAAGATTTTCCAGGTAGTTCACAGGCACCTTTAAGTTTAAGAAGCACTAGTTTTGATGATGATAGAAGGAAATTTTCTGTCACACAGAAGAATCAGAGTTAGTGTCATTTTCATACTGATTGTCCTCACTGTGTGCAAGTGCTAAACTTTCAGTTACCTATAATGTTTCCCTTGTTTTCCTATTTATAATTAGTTTTCTCCAGTAGTTGGTCCTTTTAACTGCAGTCTTGTTTTCAGAAGACAATAGATGCAAGGTGTGGATAGGGAGCCTAGTTTGAGGAGCTGAAATCATACTGGATATATAAGGTTTGTCTGTAGAGTGGTGGCACATTAAGAGGACCAGAATCAATCACCTGAGTTGGCATAATCCAGTAATGTTTATGGAGGGCCCTTATGTGAATGGCTGTTTGGCACTATAAATCAGTAGAGTGTAATCGTGTGTATAAGAGTCTTAAGTTCCTCCAGGGGGGATTGTGGGCAGAAACACAGGAGAGGTGAGCCTGGAGAGCAGATTTCCCTCAAGAGAGCTATGATTGCCTGAGTCAAGCATAAAATTGTCATGCTGTTTTAGAATCTTCTTTGCCACATGTTGGTTAGCAATATCATCCAGCCTTAGAGAGGAAGGCTGATGAGCTCTGTATGAAAGCATAAAAAGGATATGAGAAGCTTAGAACTCCACTGAAAGGTGTTCCCTGGTTATGCCGTAGGATTGATTTAAAATGGAAGTAGTATGACAAATAATTATAAGCTTTCTGGGCATGAAACTCATCTGTGTTTTTATGGTATTAAGGAATCTGCTACTATACAGTTGGATTTTAAGTGTTTCTCACTTATTTTTGTCCTAATAGCTGATTAATTTGAATTATAGTAAAATAGAATATGTGGTCATCTTATTTTTTATTAAAATTTTTTAAAAAATTGAGGTAACATCGGTTTATATTACTATTTCATGTGTACAACATTATATTTTGACCTATATACACTACGGCATGCTCACCACGAAAAGTTTAGTTTCCATCTGTCACCGTATAGTTGATCCCATTTATCTGTTTCTCCCTCCCCCTACCTCCCTTCCCCTCTGGTAATCACTAATCTGTTCTCGGTATCTATTTGTTTGCTTTTGTGTGGTTTATTTTGTTTGTTTATTTATTTTTAATATTCCACATGTGAGTGAAATCATATGGTATTTGTCTTTCTCCGTTGGACTCATTTCACTTAGCATACTACCCTCAGTGTCCATCCAGGTGTTGCACATGGCAAGATTTCATCTTTTTTTATGGCTAAGTAGTATTTAATTGTACATATATACCACATCTTCTTTATCCACACATCCATCAATGGGTAACTTAGGTTGTTTCCATATCTTGGCTGTTGTAAATAATGCTGTGATGAACATTGGGGTGCATATATATTTTTGAATTAGTGTTTTCATATTCTTCTGATAAATACCCAGAAGAAGACATTTGCAAATCCTATATCCAATAAGGGGTTAATATCTAAAATATGTAAAGAACTTGTACAACTCAACAGCAAAAAGCGAAATAACCTGATTAAAAAATGGGCAGAGGATCTGGGTAGACATTTTTCCAAAGGAGACCTACAGATGGCCAACAGGCACAGGAAATGATGTTCAACATCACTGTATTTATTAGGGAAATGCAAATCAAAACCACAGTGAGATATCACATCATGCCCGTTTGAATGGCTATTATAAAAAAGGCAAGAAATAAGTGTTGGAGAGGATATGGAGAAAAGGGAACCTTTATATATTGTTGGTAGGAAGGTAAATTGGTGCAGCCACTATGGAAAACAGTTTGGAGATTCCTCAAAAAATTAAGAATAGAACTGCCACATGATCCAGCTGTTTCTTTTCTGGGTATTTATGTTGTCATTTTAAATGGGTCTGCCCTGAATTGCTTAAGTCGTTCCAGTTAGGGAGTGAAGAGAGAGGGAGATGTGAGGACCCAGAATGTTAGCCAGTGGCTTCCCTTGGTTCCTGTGGACTTTCCTGAAGGAGCTTTAGAGTGAGTCTTCTCTTCGTTGAACCCAGAGCTCAGTGGCTCTCAAACTTCCTGTGCCTAAGAACTGCCTGGGGAGCTTGTTACGAGTACAGCTTCTCAAGCGCACTTGCCAGAGATTCTCATTCATTCAGTAGGTTTTGCAATGAGACTCAGGAATACAGTGGCTGGGTAATGGATATAGGTCATTTGTGGATCATGCTTGAGCAATATTGCTTGAGCCCCTGGGAACTTAGTGGTACCATATATGAGCTTAGTAGTACTTAGCTGCAGGGAGCCCCTTGGGGTAGACTGGGAGGGGTCTTGAGTGGTTAATCATGTCTCCTGGCCTCTGTTCCCTATTAGGAAGGCAAAAGGTTTGTTTGCTCCTAACTTAGGCACCGAGGCACCAAGTTCATCTTACTGCATCTACCATGGACATTAGAGAGTCCAAG